GCTGAACCAAGCAGCTGCATCCCAAGTTTCTTTATGACATTTATGCTCCGTGACTTGTGAGAGCGCTGAACTCGGCTGCCTCCAGGGATGGGGCTGGGACAGGGCTGGGATGGGGCTGGGATGGGGCTGGGATGGGGCTGGGACAGGGCTGGGATGGGGCTGGGATGGGGCTGGGACAGGGCTGGGATGGGGCTGGGATGGGGACCAGGGTCTGGACAGTGAAATGCAACACGCTGCCTGGCACAGCCCCCACCCAACCTAAAGCACTGTGGGTGCTCCATGAACCCACCCTGGAGCACCAAGCAACACATCAGGCACCTCCCAAGAGCGAAATCCTAAATCCTCAAAGGGAATCACAGGGTAGCAAGTTAGGTATAGACTTATTTATTTCTTTGCACTGCAAAAAAAGCCTCAAGAACCTGCCCAGCACCCTGGGGTGCGTCCCTGCACGTCCCTGCTCCGCGGGTTCCCGGTGGTGGGTAGGAAATGGTACCTGTCAGGTTGGCTGGGCTGTGCTCCTGTGCTGTTTGAGGTGTGAACAGCCATCCATGGAGAAGGAGAACCCCGTCAGCATCAAACCACCGCCTCTCCTGCCCTGCACCGGCCATCTCCACATCCCCCACGGGAAATTAGGATCCCTCAAACCTCTTAATCCCACTAAATAACATCATAAGCTTTCTGTTAAATAGGCCAGACCGGTCCTCACCGTGGATTCTAGGAATACCAATGAAAGAAGAGCAAATCCTCTGCCCTTCATGAGAATTACAGCCTCATCATGCTCAGCTGGAGACAGATGACTGCCTAGATCATCTTTCCAATTACACATCTCCCCCAGAGCCCCCCCCAGCTTGGCCATCCTAGATTGGAAAACCCCATCCAACGTCTTTTCTCAATTTTTAAAGGCCCTTTTTGCCCGTCCTGGTGCACTGGCAGCAGGAATTCCCATAGCCCAGGTGAGGCAGGGATGGGATGGATACCTTTGCTAAGCAACCGTGTTGCCTTGTGCCAGCTCACACTGACACTGAGAGACAGCAACAATGGGAATCTCTCTGCTCTGCCTCCGCACCCATTAAACACCTCAGCTACACAAAGCCTTGGCAGGGTTTGATGCCTGGGCCAGCTGCAGCACCCCAAATCTGATGGGTGGAGGTCCCAGCCCCCACCACCCACACCTGGGGGCTCAGCGGGTGCTCTGCACCTCCCGTCCCCCTCCTTGGGGACGTGTCCCACCAGCCTGGCTGGTCAGGCCTGGCCTTGCAGCTGAGACCTGGGGCAGCCCCATTGCACCCCATTTATGCACCCCCAGCCCTGCTGCCAAAAGGGGTGGGAGTTCTCTGCCCCCCCAGAGCTCTGGCCCCTTCTCACCCCTCCAGGCACCCTGGGGACCCTGACCCTGGCTCAGGCCGTGTGCCACATGGGATCCATCCCTCCAGCAGTGTCCACCTTGGCACAGGGGGTCACAGGGGTACGTCCTCCCTCAAACATGTAAGACACCCCCTCCAAACCCCCACACACACTAAGGATGGGTACAGAGCACCCCAAAACATCCCCTAATGCCCTGGAACCCTAAACCCCACATGCCCTAAGGCACTGGGGTCCCAACCAACCCACCCAACGCTGCACAGCCCACCTCACCCTGCCCCACCTGGGATCTGGAGGGTGTTGTCTCAGTGCTCAGCACCCCCAAAAAGACGCAGTTGTGATGCACAGCCCCCCCAAACACACACACACACATCTGACCACCCCAGTGCTGAGACCCCCCCAAAAACCACACACCCTGGTGCACAGCCCCCCATATCACACAATCTGCTGCTCCCCTCCCCATGCATTGTCGTCCCCCTGCTGCACCCCACGATGCACACAGACCCCCCAAACCACACAGCCCATTGTGCCTCCCAAGTGCTCAGACACCACCCAAACCACACACACACCCCCACCTGGACCATACACTCCGCTCCATCCCCCAAAAACACACACCCCAGAGAGCCCCCACGGCGTAAGGACCCCCAAACCCACACACCACGTGTGCCCCCCGCTGCAAAGACACATCCCCCCCGCCCAGTCACGCACACCGGGGCCCCCACCCATGCACCGTGGTGTGTCCTGCCCCCCCAAACCACGCACCCCGATCACCCTGAGCCCCCCCAAACCACGCATCCCGATCACCCTGAACCCCCCCCAAACCACGCACCTCGATCAACCCCCTGAACCCCCCAAACCCTGCACCCCGATCACCCTGAGCCCCCCCAAACCACGCACCCCGATCACCCTGAACCCCCCAAACCACGTACCTCGATCAACCCCCTGAACCCCCCAAACCACGCACCCCGATCAACCCCCTGAGCCCCCCAAACCACACACACCGATCAACCCCCTGAACCCCCCAAACCACACCCTGAACCCCCCAAACCACACATCCCGATCAACCCCCTGAATCCCCCAAACCACGCACCCCGATCACCCCGAACCCCCCCAAACCCCGCACCCCGATCACCCTGAACCCCCCAAACCACGCGCCCCGATCGCCCCCAAACCACGCGCCCCGCTGCATCCCCCCCCGAACCCCCCAAACCCCGCACCCCGGTGCCGCTCCCGCCCGGAGCCCGTCCCGCCGGTGCCCCGGTGCCGGTGCCCCCCCGGTGCCGGTGCCCCCGGTGCCGGTGCCCCCCCGGTACCTCTTGGAGCGCTGGAGGAGGGCTCCGGCCGCCCGCTGGCCCCGGTAACCGGGCGGGGCGGCTCCCCAGCAGCTCGGGTCCGACATCGCGGCCCGGCCGCGTCCTCCGGCACCGAGCGGCGCCCCCGGCACCGAGCGGGGACCGAGCGGGGCGGGAGCGGGACGGGAGCGGGACGGGAGCGGGACGGGAACGGGACGGGAACGGGACGGGAGCGGGAACGGGGCCGCGCTCCCGCCGCCTCCCGCCGCCGCCGCCGCCGCCGCCTCCCGCTGCCGCCCGCCCCTTCCCGCCCGGCGGCGACGGGGTTACCATGGAAACGGGCAGCGCCCCGAAACCGGGTCGGGGTTGCCATGGAGATGGGGGGGGATCACCCCCAAAAGGAGAGGAAGTGCGGGTTGGGGGGGGGGTACCACGGAAAGGCGACAAAATGGGGTCGGGGTTACGGTAGGGATGGGGCATCACCCCAAAACAAGGCCGGGGGTGGCCTGGAGGGGAGGCAGCACCCCAAGGGGAGATCGAGGTTGCCGTAGAGGCAGGGCAGCATCCCAAAATGGGGTCGGGGTTAGCCTAGAGATGGGGCAGCACCCCAAAATGGGCTTTGGGTTACCACAGAGACAGGGCAGCACCCCAAAATGGGGTCAGGATTACCATGGAGATTCAACATCTGCTACTGATGCGTTCGAGGGGCACAAACATCATCCCCTGAGCCAGCGGGGGTGGCCCCAAAGCCTGGGGCTTCCTGGGAGCCCCCTGCCAGCCATGGGATGTGTCCTCTGAGGGCACCCACAGAGTCCTGGCAGCGCCCTGCAACCTCCCACCCACAGTGGCTTTTCCGTTCAGCCAGGGAGATCCCAGCACAGAGCCAGTGACACCCACCCCCCTGCGTGGTGGCACACCAGGGCCACCAGAACCCCCTGAGCTGTGTGGGATGGCACTGCCACACTCACCGGGCCAGTGCCACAGCCCTGAATCCTGCTGGGCTGGGCAGGGGCTCAGCACCTTTCCCCTTAGCTCCTGCCCAGCAGCCATGAGACACCAGCACAGAGTGCCTGTCCTTGTCCCCATCCTCATCCCCCTCCTTGTCACCACGAGCATCCCAAAAACTCCTCAAGGCCTCACAAGGCCACGCTGCTTTTCCACACGCTGCAGTCGCTACGGGGCAAGCGGTGGCCAGGCAGGGCTAGCAGAGGGTGCCAGCAGGCAGGGCACAGGCAGGGCACAGGCGGGGCACAGGCTCTGCCCTCCTGGCCACAAATGGCTCTGCCTGTTGCTGAGCAGCGGCAGAGCTGTCCCGGATCCCGCTCTGCTGCCACCAGCTGCTCTCCCGGCACACGGAGCCACCGAGGCACGGCTCAGCCCCGGGCACCGGGCACCGGGCAGGTGCAGCTCTGCACCGCGGGTGCCACGGGGCACAGGGCGGGGTGTGAGCGTGGTGCCAGCACAGCTGGTGCACCTTGTCCCCGGGGCAGAGCGCAGCTGGCACAGGGGGCAGGGCCCGGCCACCACCTCCAGCACCTGGGCACCACAACAGGCTTGTGGCATTTTGGGGGAGAGTAAAGGGGGGACACAGGGGTGAACCCACGCCCCCGGAGCAGCCCCTCCCCACCTTCAACATCCTGCTCCCATCACAGTGCCCTGCCCTGCTCCGTTCTCAAAGTCCCCCTTCACACCAGGAGTCACAACTCCTGTCACAACATCCCCACTGGGGCTCCCCAAAATGGACCGGTCAGTAGCAGAACACAGCCAGGCTGGTTTTGGGGTGTGCAGGGGTTGGCACAGACCCCATTCAATCACTCCGTGTGTCCCATCAAAGACAGTCGCACCCTTTCGGGGTGCCCCAGGACATCCCTGCTGGAGGGGACCATTCTGTCCTCATCTCCACCTCTCCCCTCTCATTCCCTGGAGCAGGTGGCCACGGTTCCCAGGGAGGGTTTGGGGGGGTCTTACCTCCAGGGGTGCAGGGTTAGTAAGGGGCTGCAGGGGCTGCAGGGGCTGCAGGGGCTCAGCAGGGTCGGGCTCTGGCTGCTCGGTGACAAGCTGCAAGGCAAGGCGAGCCGGCGGTGTCAGCGGCTGATGGGGGGCGCTGCTGGCCCCTGGGGGGCTGGAGGGGTCGGGGGCGCAGAGTGGGGGGACAGGGGCTGGGGGCGGGGGGTCAGGCGAGGAAAGTGAGGCAGAGCTAGAGGGGGAGCGCAGAGGACAGCGGGGACACGGCCCAGGGTCCTGCCGCCCTCCCCCGGTGCCGGTGCCGGTACCGGCGCGCCCTGCCCCGGTTCCGACTCACTCCAAGGTCAGCGAGGGGATCTTCAGCCTGTCCCGACGCGACTTCATGCCGCCACCGCCACCGCCCCGCTCCGCTCCGCTCCGCTCCCGCCGCACCGGCGGCCCCCGCGCTGGGCGGCTCCCGCGGCACGGCACGGCACGGCACGGCACGGCACGGCACGGCACGGCACGGCACGGCACGGCACGGCACGGCACGGCGGCCTCCGGGCCCCCGCGCACCCGACTCGGCCCGCCCGGTCCAGCGGCGGCCCCGATCCGGATCGCTCCCGGGATGTGCCGGGGCGCTGCCGCTGCTGAGGCACCGCAATGCCGGTACAGCCCCGGTACAGCCCCGGTACGGCCCTGGTACAGCCCCGGTACAGCCCCGGTACAGCCCCCGGTGATCCCTAACCGTGCCGGTATGGCTGCAGTGCATCCCTAACACTGCCCCAGTGCTCCCGCCGTGCATCCTCCGCACAGCCCTGGCACTGACACCCGGGGCAGCTCTGCAGCAGCTCCCCAGGGTACCCCAATACACCCCAGTACACCCCAACACACCCCAGTACACCCCAATACACCCCAGTACACCCCAACACACCCCAGTACACCCCAATACACCCCAGCACTGCTCAGAACACCCCAACACACCCCAGTACACCCCAATACACCCCAGCACTGCTCAGAACACCCCAACACACCCCAGTACACCCCAGTACACCCCAGTACACCCCAGCACTGCTCAGAACACCCCAACACACCCCAGTACACCTCAGAACATGCCAATAATGCTTAGAACCCCAACACACCTACAGCAGAGCACACACACCCCAGTACACCCCAGTACACCCCAGTACACCCCAGTTCACCCCAGTACACCCCAGTACACCTCAGCACATCCCAGTACACCTCAGCACATCCCAGTACACCCCAGATGAGCCATCAGGTCCCTCCAGTGCCAGAGAACATGATGATGCCACCCCAGATTTGGGGACAACAAGCGCTGGTGCCATTCAACAGCCATCCCTGCTGCCACCCACGGTGGCAGTGCTGTGTCCCCAGGTGTGACCCTCCCGGTGACACCCCACCCACGCCCGGGGTGGCCCAGCTCGGGGACTTACGCTCTTCCTCGGCGCGGCAGGCTCAGCTCCTTCTGCAACAAGACAAGCACGAGGTGGGGTCAGCGTGGCCCTGGGACCCAGGGGTGCCACCTGCCCCTCCTGCCAGCCACCCCACACAGCTGGCAGCATCCCCGCTGCCACACCCAGCTGTCACACCCCAATGTCCACCCATTCACAGTGCCCAGGGTGAGGGTGACAAATCACACACCCCAAGAGGACATCTCCCAGTGTCCCCAGGGCTGCTGGTCCCATGGCCAGGCCCAGGAGCGATGGCACAATGGGAGCAGCACCCGTGTGCCCAGCTGGGCCATGGCCCCCAGGATGGTGGCTTCACCCTGTCCCCAACCTCGTCCCCCCCAGCCCAGGAGTGGGAAGCAGCCAGCAGCCCCCGGGTTATTTATTTTCCAACCTCTGGGAATATTCCTTGTGGGAACTGTTTGCTCACAGGTGGTGCAACGGGCCAAAGGGCAGCTGGGACAGGAACCCACACCAGTGCCATGGGCACCATCCGGCTCCAGCACTCCTCTGGTCCCCACCTGTGCCACCTGTCACCCACAGAGTGTCACAGGTTCTGCCAGCACACCGTGAGTGGCACAACGTGGCCAGGCTGACGGGTGCCCTGGCACACCGTGGGATGCAGGGACATGTGGCAGCTGCAGGTGTGGTTAATGCCCCATCATTGCCCTGGTCCTGTGCCCACCGTACCCCTGAGCAGCCTGGACCCATTTTTGACACAGGCCCGGAGCTCCCTGAGGGCCGGAGCTGCTGCCACCCACCCGGGGGCCCCCAGCAGCACCCATACACCCCCCAAAGGCCGGGGTAGCCGTGCTCCATCCCGCTGCCCACGCCACGCAGCCCCTGTGGAAATCCCGGGATTGGGGCGCGCTGCAACGCAGTGATGCAGCAGCATTGCCACGGCAACGGGTGACATCATGCCTGGGTGCACAGGAACTGGCAGCCCCGGGCCCACGGGTGCATGTGTGCCCCAGGGTGGCATGAGACACGTCTGTGGGTGCACGGCGTGGGTGTGGGTGTCCCTGTGCACCCAGCAGGGGCTGACCCCCGGCCCGGGCTGGGCAAGGGGATACGGGGTCCTTACATGGAGCGGGAGCCCCCAGCACCCTCAGCCAGCTCTGCTGTCACCCAGCCCGGGTCCCCTGCCACACCCGGAGCTGTGCCACTGCCACCAGCCCCTGCACAGGGCAGGAGGCAGAGGAGGGTCACGCTGGGGGTTTTACTGCTCAGCTGTGTGCAGATGGAACAGCGGGACAAAGGACTGTCCCCCGTGCTCACCCACTCCCATCTATGGTGCCAGTGCTCAGAGAGCCCAATACCCTTCACTGCCAGGGGCTCTCCGGCCACTCTGTGTCCCCAGGGACACCCAGAACAGCCCCCAGTGGCTCTGAGGACCCCTGTGGGGTAATGTCACAGAGCCAGCACCCACAGGGTGCCCGTCACACCTGCCCAGCGCTGCACATCCCTTCAGCAAGTGCCAGTGGGAGCCAGGATTAGCCATCAGCTGATCCCTGTGAGGACAGCCTTAGGGACCGCACCGGGACAGCACCGAGGGTGGCATCAGTGATGGCACCAGGGACAGAATCAGGGATGGGGGAATCCCAGAATCACTGGGACAGCATGGGGGATGGCACTGGGACAGCATCAGGGACTGCTGCTGAGCCCTGTGGGATTAAATCCCTAGTGGGAGCCCCTTCCCACCCCATGTGGGCACTCAGCCGTGTCGCACGGCTCTGCCCTTCCCGGGACCGCCAGGAATGTCACCCACAGGCACGAGCCCCGAAGCCCAGGGCCGTGGCTCTGTCCATCCGTGACACCCACAGCCACGAGCCCCCAAGCCCAGGGCCATGGCTCTGTCCCTCCGCACCCGCGGGGAGGCGGCTCCGCACAGGGCTCTCCCTCCCTCTCCCTCCCGGGCTGAGCGGGCAGCGGAGCGCAGCTGCCCGCGGAGCTGCCAACTCGGATGAAGGCAGAGCCGTGCCATCCTCCAACCGCGCCGACAGCTCCGCCCGGGCCCCCCGGATACTGCAGATGGGGATGGAGGCGTCAGGTCACCCGGAAAACCCGGCTCAGCGTTCAGCTCTGCCAGCCGGGGGGTCCCCGGTCATCGCCCCCCCGAGCGTGGCGGGATGGGCAGGAGGATGGGTGGGTGCCCCTCTGCCTCGGGGAGCAGGAAGGCCAGGCAAGAGAGGGGCTCAGAGAGCGGCTGGCACAGCGGTGCGGCACGAACCGGCACCGGGAGCTGGGCTGGAGGGACCCTTGGGAGCCCCCACACCGTTGGGTACCCCCCGGCGACATCCCATGGCACAGCTGGGGCTCAGAGCCTGCCCGGCTCCTGTCCCGCACTGCTCGCACACAGCACCCACCCCTGGCCCCCGCAGCACCCACCTCTCACCCACAGCCCCCACCTCTCGCACACCGCCACGCAGAGCCCCCCACTCCCCCACGCAGTGCCCACTCCTCTCACACTCCCGCAGAGCACCCAGCTCCCACCCGCAGCACCCACCCGCAGCACACGCAGCACCCAGAGCACCCACTGCTCACCTCCAGCACCCACCCCCGGAGCACCCACCTCTCAACTTCCAGCACCCACCCCTCGCAGAGCCGCATCCGGAACACCCACCTCTCACCCCCGACACCCACCTCCCACCCGGAGCACCCACCTCTCACCCACAGCGCCCGCCCCCCGCGTCCCCGCAGCGCCCACCCCCTGTGGACCCGCGCCCCCAGCCCGGCCTCACCGGGAACGGGCTCACCGGGAACGGGCTCCCCGGGAACGGGCTCCCCGCGCCCCTCCCGCCCCCGCCCCGCTGCCGGTGCCGGTGCCGGTGCCCGGTGCTCACCTGGAGGCCCCGGCGCCGCAGGATGCTGGGCTCGTCCATCCCGCCGCGCCGCCGCCGCCGCCTCCCGCTGCGCCCGCTCCGCCCGGTGCGCCCGGTCCGCCCCGCCGGTGCGCCCGGGGCGCCGCCCAGCGGCCCCGCCGCGTCACCGGACGCGCATCAGCACCGAGCCCGGGGCTGGCACGGCACGGCACGGCACGGCACGGCACGGCTCGGGGCTGGCACGGCACAGCTCGGGGTTGGCACAGCACGGGGCTGGCATGGCACAGCACGGGGCTGGCACAGCACGGGGCTGGCACAGCACGGGGCTGGCACAGCACAGCTCGGGGCTGGCACAGCACGGCTCGGGGCTGGCACGGCATGGCTCAAGGCTGGCACGGCACGGCTCAGGGCTGGCACAGCACAGCTCGGGGCTGGCATGGCACGGCGCTGGCACAGCACAGCTCGGGGCTGGCACAGAACGGCTCGGGGCTGGCACGGCACGGCATGGGGCTGGCACAGCACGGGGCTGGCACAGAATGGCTCAGTGCTGGCACGGCTCGGGGCTGGCACGGCACAGCTCGGGGCTGGCACAGCATGGCTCGGGGCTGGCATGGCACAGCTCGGGGCTGGCACGGCACAGCTCGGGGCTGGAACAGCATGGCATGGGGCTGGCACAGCACAGCACAGCACTGGCATGGCATGGCATGGCATGGCATAGCATGGCATGGAATGGCACTGGCACAACATGGGGTTTGCACAACACAGCATGGGGCTGGCACGGTACAGCGTGGGGCTGGCACAGCATGGGGCTGGCACGGTGTGGGGCCAGTGCAACACAGCATAAAGTGGCACGGCAGAGCAGGGGGCTGGCATGGCCTGGGGATGGCACAGCATGACATGAGACCCACATGGCCCAGGGCTGGAATGGCACAGCACAACTGCAGAGGAAGGCATGAAGCTGACATGGCATGGGGCTGCAATGGCAGGGGGCTGGCACAACATAAAGCTGGCACAGCATATAGCACAGAGCTGGCATGGCATGGGGCTGGCATGGCATGGCAGGGTGTGGGGCTGACAGGGCATGGTACATTCTGGGTCTGGCACAGCCTGCCTGGCTCAGTACAGCCCAGTGTGGCACAGTCTGGCATGGCATGGCACAGTATAGCACACCATGTGGTTGGCAAAGGCTGGCACAGTCTGCCTGGCTCAGCACATGCTGGCACTGCAGAGTCTGCCACGTCATGGCACAGCATGGCATGGCACAGCATGGGACAGCCCGGGCCTGGCACAGCCCAGCACACAGAGCCCAGCTCTGGCACGCAGATGATGGCTTGGGGCTGGCACAGTCTGCCTGGCATGGTACAGCGCAGCATGGCACGGCCTGGGGCTGGCACAGCAGGGATGGGGTTGGGATCTTGGTGTGGTTCAGCCCAGGTCTGTCCTGGTGGCCACAGAGCAGCACAGAACGTGTGGCCTGGGCAGCGGTGCCCAGTTCAGTCCAGCGTGGCATGGCACAACCAATCTGGCACAGCATGGCATAGCTTGGCATGCCATAGCATGCCCTGGGCTGGGTCAGCATGGCATAGCCCAGTCCAGCACAGCAAAGCCCAGCACAGCCCAGTTTGGCACGGCACAGCTTGGCATGTACCCCCACCCCGGGCAGGACAGGGCCACACGCAGGGAGGGCACACGGAGAGTCAGGAGGTGCCGGAGGGACCCTCTGTGCCCCCAGCCCGGCCGTGCCCACGCTGTCCCGGCACGGGGACACTCCTGCCACCGCCGCCCTCCGGCCCCGAGGGGGGCGGCCACACAAGGGGCCGCTTTCTGCGGGAACAAGGACACTCTGTGCACGGCCCTCGGTGCCACCCGGCTCCACCGTCCCGGGTCACACGGCTCTGCTGCCCCGGTGCCACCCCGGCCTCACTGCGGCTTTGTTCTCGCGGCTCACGGAACCAGAGGAACACGGAACAGCCTCCCCTAAAAAACCCAGAGAACTCCAACCTGGAGATTCGCCCCGTTAAGCACCAGAAACACGCTGTGAGCAAGAAAAATAAAATAAAATAAAATAAAAAAAACCCACCAAAACCCCCACGACTCATTTTTCGCTTACCTTGCGCTTCTGGCCGTGCCGGGCACGTGGCGCGGCCGGGACACGCGGGGCAGGGGAGCCTCATCCCGGCAGAAAAAGGGGGATATTTGGGTTGCTTTCTCTTTTGCTTTTGGTAAAAGTGGGGCACGCACTCCCATCTCGGGCTCTGCCCCGCCTGGGAACCGCACGCTCGCTGCAGCAGAGGAAACCCCAAGCGCGGGAAGCTGCGCCGAGCACCGGGGCTGCCGCCAGGGCCGAGAGGGGCACCGGAGGGCTGCGGGGGCTTTGGGCAGCCGAGGGGGCGGCGGAGCCCCGGGCCCGGTGGGAGATGCTGGGCTGGATGCTGGCGGCGCTGGCGGCGCTGGCGCGGGGCGGTGAGTGCTCCTGCGGCGCTGGGAGATGAGAGATAACTTCAGAAGACTTTCAATGAATGATCCGGGGGTGATAAGAGCTGGGGAGCTCCCGGAGAGAGATGGAGATGGAGATATTCACCCCAAACCACAGGGATGGAGTAAAGGCGGTGAATCTCCGCTGGCAGCGGGCAGGAACGGGGAGAGCGGCACCGGCAGAGCCGCATCGCTGGGGAGGGGGAACTCGGGGGGTTTAGGGTGAGAATCGCCGCTGCCGCTGCTCCGATTCCCCGTTTGGGCAGCGTGGCAAGCAGCAACAGGCACACCATTGCTCCCCCATGCACGGGATGGAGTTGGGATGCAGGAGCCGGCAGCCACTGCCCTGTCCCGCAGGCGCCCAGGACGTCTCCTGCTGGAAGAAATGCAACACCCACAAACCTTTCCAGTGCTCCTGGCCGCCCCTCGGCCCTGCCGGCAGCACCTCCTACACCCTGAACCTCTGGTGAGTTGGCAGCGCGGCGGGGAGGGGAACCCATGGGATGGGTCCCGGGTGCCACCCTGTGCCCCTGTCCCCAGCTTTGAGAAGCGCAGGCTGTGCCGCTGGTTTGAGGCGGGCACGGTGACCAGCTACAGCCCCTCGCATCGCCAAGTGTACGTCTTTGATAACACCACGGCCTGGGTGGAGGCACGCTGGGGGGACCAGGTCCGCAGGACCCCCAACCACACCCTTCACCTCAACGAGGCTGGTGAGTGCCCCGGGGAGCAGGCTGGCAGCCAGCTCTGCCACTAAAAACTGCCAGACCACCTAAAAATGAGGCATTTTTTCCCAGTCAAACTGGATCCACCTCCTGCTGGGATGCCCTTCTCCAAGACCAGTGGGCAGCTGAGGGTGCGGGTGCCACGGCCACAGTGCCACGGCCTGGAGCAGCCACCACAGCACGAGGCTCGCTTCTGGAGGGTGGGGGACAGCAGCTGGACACAGGTAAAAATGCTGTTTGCTGGAGCTGGCAGCGACTGACAGGACAGTCAGGAGCATCACCGGCAGCCCAGGGAGTGTGGGGGCTCAGTGATGTCACTGTCCCCCCCCAAACCCAGCTGTGTCCCAGCTGTTTCCCCGGGTTATCAGCTCTGCCATGGGATCCTGCTGCTGCCCATAACAGGATTCTCAGGGATTACACGGACAAAACCCCAGATTACAGTAATGACGACAATGGGTCAAATCCAGATGCTTGTCCCTGGTGAAGCTGTCACAGCTGGGGATCCCCATCCCTCTCAGCTGCTGCCAGGAGGGTCCCAGGATTGAGGGAGGCCCCTGGGTGTTTGGGGTGTTTGGGGATCACTGGGCGGCACCGATATCCCAGTAAAATACTGGTTTTACTGGGTGGATGTCTCCATGCCCGGTTGTCTCCACAGGTGACATGTGAGACAGTGATGGTGACAGCTGAAGAAGACTCAGGTTGGTTTATCCTGTGGGGTTGTTGGGGACAAGCATCTCCTGGGGGTGCTCCCCAGCCAGCAGCCTGTGATGGCCACAAACTGGGGAAAGGAGGGGTCACCCCCAGCTGACCCTGCCACCCCTCCCTAGTGACCTGTGCCCTGGGGGTCAACGGCACCTTCGTGGTCCAGCTCCGGCACAAGCCTCCCCACTGGAGCAGCTACTGGAGTGACTGGAGCAGCAACATCTCTGTTCCTGAGGGTGAGGAAGAGGACAGGAGCCTGGTGAGACCCCAACAGATCCCAGAAATGTTGGTGGCTCAGTCAGGCCTGTTCCTCCTGCAGAAATCCTGAGGAAGCCGGTGCTGAGCCATCAACTGGGCAAACTGGGGAGAGACGGGCAGCGGGTGCTGAGGCTGAGCTGGCAGGTACAGTGGCATCTCTGGGGCCTTCCTGGGTGTTCCCTGCCATTTCATCCCCCGAGTCACCCCCTTTTCCTCCCCAGCCTGTCCTCGAGGAGCAAAGGGATGTCACCTACCAGCTGGACGTCAACATGTTGGCGTGTGGCTGTGCAGGGTCAGACGAGGAGGACACGGTGGTGCTGGGTGGGGAGGTGACAGAGCACAACCTCACCCTGTCCGGGGCTGAATACGAAATCCTGCTGAGCGCCGTCAACGCCGCGGGGCCGGGGCCCGCCCGGCAGCTCCGTGTGCCGGCAGAGCAGCATGCAGGTACCCCCCCTCTAGAACTGCTGAGCTCCCTGGCGGCCCTCAGGGCGTTATTGTTTCCCAAACATGCCCCGTTTCACCCCAGATCTCAGCTTCAAGGAGATCAGCGTGGCCGGCAGCGCCGTGACGGCGCAGTGGGAAGCGCCGGTGCCCGGTGATGCCTTCTGCTTCGAGCAGCAGACTCTGCCAGAGGCTCCGAAACAGGGAATCTGCACCCTGCAGGAATTCCCTGCCAACAGCAGCCACGTGCAGAGAGGCAAGGCAGCACCCCAAACCCCCCTGTGCCCCAAATCAGGCTCAGAGGGTCTCACCAGCACCCCCATTCCTCCCCAGGAGAGCTGGGAGCGCCGGGCTGTCACCGCCTGGCCGTGCACGGCTGGGACGCGGAGCGGGGCTGGGCCACCTTCGCGCTGTGGCACCGCTACGCCAGCAACGGTGTGTGTGTGGGCACGGGGCATCCGCAGCTGGCTTCGCTCCACGAGGCCTCTCCTGAAATATTCCCGTTTGCCGCCCGCAGAGTCGCTGGACGTGCCCTTCACCCTCAGCACCGGGCAGGCCGCGGCTGTTCTCCGCTGGGAGCCGTCCCCACGCGCCGCCTGCCCCGGCGCCCTGGCCAAGTACCTCGTCTGCCACGCGGCCGAGGGGGACACCGTGACCTGTGAGTGGGACCCCGTGGGACAGGAGGAGGGTGATGCCATCAGGCCAGACCGCCCCACATTCGGTTTTCTTTGTCCAGACAGTGAAGTGGATGCCACGGCAACAAATTACACCCTCCAAAACCTCCGGCCTGGCACAGGCTACAGGGTGGGTGTTTGGGAGGTGACAGAGGACAGCGAGAGGACCTGTAGTGCTTGGTGGCCCTTCCAGACCAAGGCACTGGGTAATGGCTGAGACCCTGTGCCCTCCCCACTCCCCGTGGGGTGCTCTCTCCACCGTGTGCTCGCCCTCATCTCAAAACCTGTGTCCCTGTTGGGGGCAGGAATGCCACCAGCCAGCCATGCCTACCCTCAGGTCCCCAAGGAGCACCATGGAGAGGCAACCTGAAGTACCTGGGCATCTCTCTTGGCCTCCCCGCTGCAGCCGCCATCTACCACCTGAGCAAAAGGAGGTGACAGAGCGCCCTTGTCCCCAAAGCCACTCAGGCCACCCCCAGCCTTACTCACCCCCTCACCACCACTCCCTCCCCAGGGCTCGCCGCCTCCTCTTCCCACCCCTTCCCAAGCCCGTGGGCACCAAAGCCATTCAGTTCTCGGCCGGCGAGGTGAGCCAGGTGAGGTGTGAGGTGCAGGAGGGGGCAGATCCCACAGATCCCACAGCCCCAAACACGAGATGTTCCACCCCAAGCCCACTCAACCCTTATGGCCAGCCCCGGACAGGCCTCCTGGAGCCCTCGGAGAGGTTCAGCCCAGCCGAGCTGCTGCTGCTGGAGCCGAATCCCAGCGAGGAGACGACTGACACGGGCACCCAGACTTCGGGGCCGCTCCCCGAGGTGTCACAGCCTGGCCCCACGCTGGAAAAGCCGCTGGCAGCGGTGATGTCCCCGGTGGGCTGTGGGGAGGAGCTGCCCTTCGCCTACCGCAGGCAGGAGATGCTGAGCCCGGTGGGATCTTCACCCTCTGGCAGCACCAGCTGCAGCGGGCACCCACCCCCAGAGGAGGAGGAGGAGGAGGAGGAGGAGGAGGAGGAGGAGGGAAGGCAGGGGCTGCACCAGCCGCTGGTCCCCATTGCCCTGCTCATCTCTGACAAGCCCATCATCATCAGGGGTGAGGAAGGATGGGATCCCTCACTGCAGCAGTCGGTGCAGCCATCAGCAGGCTGGAGCAGCGGGGATGGACACGGGGGGTGTCCCCTGGAGTGAGTAGTGAGTGTGGGACGCTGAGTGCCCAGTCCGGGGGTGGCACCGCCACTCTCAGGGCGGTTTCTGCTCTCCAGGGCACGGCTGGCAATGCCTCTGGGTGCAGCATTGCACCGGCTCAGCTTTTGGCCACGTAATTTCCAGCCTCAACATTTCACCAGCGATAAAACCTGAGCGAAGGCGGCTGCAGAGTCTGGCCAGGATTGGGATTTCTATGCCTGGATTGGGAGGAGAGGCAGAACTTCATCCCAGCCAGCTGCTACCTCTGGAACCAGTAGGGGGAAAAGCCTCAGCACTAAACACCAGCTACCTAAAAAACAAACAAAAAAAACCCAAAAACAAAAACAACCCCAAAAAACCCAAACAAACAAAAAAAAACCCCAAACAACCCCCCCCCAAAAAAAAAAGGGCAGAAAAAAAAATTAAAAATTAAATACAAACATTAAAAAACTAAAATAACTGCACAAAGCAGCAAGGCTGAGATGGTTTTTCCTCGCCTGACCCGAGCAGATTACAGCAAGGATTTGGAGCCGAGGTTCAATCTGCGGGGCTGGGGAGGGCACAGCCAGGCAAGCCAGGACAGGGGTGACCCATGGGGACCCCCCCATCCCCTTCCCGTGGGGCCACGCCGCCACTTCGGGCCTTATCTGGGACAGAACTGGAGATAAAAAGCGATCTGTGGTTTTCTATGCCTGGCGCGGCGGTGTTTACTTACTGAGACGGCAAAAAAAGAATTAAAAAAAAAATTTAAAAAACACCTTAAAAAACCTAAAAGCGACGTGGGTTTCGTAACACGGGGAAATCCAATTGCGCTGCCGTGGTGTCTGAACCATTGACAATCGACCTCCTCGCTGCTGCTTTTGGCTCCACTCGTGTTTTGCACAAGTTTTTCCGCTCGATTTGCACCCGTGGGCGGAAACTGTGGTGATGCTGAGAGGAGACAGAGCAGAGGGGCGGCCAGGGATGGTGGGGGACCCTCTGCATGTGCCCATCTGGATGAGACCCCCAGGCACGGGGTACCCCGTGCCTGGGGGTCTCATCCAGATGGGCACATGCAGGATTTTCATCACCGTGCCACCTCCACCACTGTGCCACCTCTGCCCGGTCCCACGCGTCCATCCCATCTCAGCTGCTGATGAAACCACGAGGTGGCACCAGCCCCACGTCCCCACGGTCATTCCCAACCTCTTGGCAAAGCAAATCCATCGCTCCCTTCCATATGTGTGTGTCAAACCCCCCCTGTGCCTCTCCAATCCCCCCAAAACCCCAGGGATCGGGTGGAAGGGGGGAGATCTGGCATTGTGGTGGGCAGAAGGTCAGCACAGAGATGAGATTTAGGGATTTTGTTGGGATTTGGGTGATTTGTTGGTTGTGGGAATGCAGGGCTTCCCTCTGGTTGCCCTGGCAGGGGTCAGGAACCCCCCTGGACAGAGCCCCCAGAGACACTGTCTGTGATCTCTGCCCATGGAAAAGAGTTTTCAATCTTACAGGATGAATTACAAGCTCTGAGTGTTTGATAAGAGTAATAATTAAGTGTGGCACGGGTGCAAAAGTAAAATTTTAAGTTTCTAAATTAGGGGTTCAGAAGGGACAAGATAAAAAAATTAAGTGTCTTGTCCTTTTCCTCCTTCTTCATGCCCTCCATGTTTCACTGTAATGTTGGCATTTTTCTATTAGTTTAAGCTAGAGACATGCTGTTTAACATAAATGATAGATATTAGCACATTATTATAAATATAACACACATAGTTTCTAGTATATAATGATTATAACATCCCACTAAGGAGCAGAGCCCCACATGCTGCCCTGCAAGACAAACCTACGGCAGGGCAGCAAAACATGTTATAAATAAGCAAGAATAAACAACCTTAAAAACAACACAAACAAATTATAGCTTCTTCTTTAGCAACAAGGCAAAAAACCAAAAACTTTCTACAATCTCAAAATCACCAATACCCACAAATTCCAACAGTTGGTGATTTTTGTTGGGATTTGAGAGGCAGGCTCTCTTCAGAGCACACCAGGTTCATGTGGAGGAAGTATCTGGTTGCAGGCAGGGAGGAACACTCAGGTTTCAGCCCCAGCCCCTGTTTACAGCCGGTTTTTGGGGGTCAGACAGAAGAGGAAAAGCACTGAGGGTCACTGGAAGCTCAGCAAGGTTGGGTGGCAGCAGTAAACACAGGGCCAGGCTCGGGGCCAGCGCGATGCCAGTTAATCATTGCAGCCCCTGGAAGGAGTTCACAGCAGGACAGGCAGGCCTGGCTGCTGCATGAAAACACCCTGGGCAGGGAGGGTGTGACAGTGAGCTCATGGGCACTCTGTGCCCCTTCCCTGGGCTCTGTGACTCTGAGCAGATAACCCTGGACCCTCCTCCCTGCCCTGACAGGGTTGGCTGAGAGCCAGAGAAGCCCACCCTGCCCAAAATCTATATAGACCCCTGACATTTCCTGTTCCTCTTTGCCCCACTCTCCCCATGGACATCACAGAATAAAGAGAGCTGCACCCACAATCTTGGGGTAAAAACCTCTTTTGGAAATCTTTTCCATCTCCTGATATTCCTCCCCTCAAAGCCTCGGATCTCTGGGCTAGCCTGATAATTCAGGGGGATGTGTGAGGGGGGGAACGTCAGGAGGGGACATGAGACCCCCCTCCTGGGGTCACTCCCCAGGGATCCATCCCATCCATGCTGCCACTCACATCCCCTCTGACACCTTCAGGGATGGCCCTGTCCCCACCAGTGGCCCTGTCCCCACCAGTGGCCCTGTCCCCACCAATGACCCCGTGCATTTTTCCCCACAAGTGTCCCAAGCTGGCCAGTGCTCTGCCAGGAACACGGTGCCCTGTGGAGCCATGGACGTGCCAGGGAAAACTAATCAAGCCAGGCTTGCCAATTAGTGCTAGAGAGCAGCTCAGGACTTGCTAATTAGTTTAAATTCCCCAGGACTGGTTTCCAAATGAGTCCCCAGGCGCCACACCAAGCTTGGTGACCCAAGGCCAGCTTTTGCAGCCAGGATGTGACTTTGCCTGCTCCTCTATCCCGGCACAGCACCCAGAGGTGCCACAGGGTTAGGCCTGGCAAGAGCCACTGCCACCCACAGCCAGGGGACAACTCATTCCACCCAGCAGGGGACTTATTACCCCAAAGGGGGACTCCTTCCAGGACAGCTCTGGGAAAAGCAGCCAAAATCCATCCCAGCAGGGAAGACAAAGGTCAGCCCAGTGCCATTAGGATGCATCAACCCCAAAGTCACTCCCTGTTCACACCCAACAGTGCCAGCACTGCCCACACACCACTGGTGACAATGTGGTGGCACAAGCATCCCTGCCCTAAAAGGGAAAAAACCCTTTTCTCCCTATTCTTACAGGAAAAACCCCTTTTCTCCCTATTCCTACACAAATTAACCTGGCTCCACTGGCACCTGAGCAGTGGGAAATTCAGCACTGCAGCCCAAGGAAGCAGGAGGGGCAGCCACGAGGAGCTGCAGGGAGGTGGTGGCAGCCTGGGGATTTGCTCCTGGCTCCCAGATTTTATAGAATCACAGGATCATTAAGGTTGGAAAACCCTCTAAGACCATAGAGTCCAACTGCTGATCCAGCACTGCCCAGCCACCACTACCCCACGTCCCCAGGCGCCACAGCCACACAGATTTTAAATCCCTCCAGGGCTGGTGACTCCACCACTGCCCAGGGCAGCCTGTGCCAGTGCTTGACACCCATGTCCATGAAGAAATTTTTCCTAATATCCAACCTAAACCCCCTTCTGGTTCCACTTGAAGCCATTTCCTCTTGATTTTGGGGGATGTGATCCCAGAGATAGAACACAAAACAACCAGAGGGGCTTGCTACAGCCCCATCACCATCAGCTCTTGGGCTGTGTGAGCCCCTGCAGAGGAGAGCTCCATCCCTGCAGGCCCAGACTGATATTTTAACACCAGATTAAGATGCTTTTCTCCCAGGTTGAGAAGTCTAACCTGTTTTCCAGCCTCGGGGAAACAGCCCTGTGGAGCCACAGCCTGGCTTTAACCGGGGCAGAGGAGAAGGTCACAACCCTGCAACCCCCTCCTTCATCCACCCATCCCTCTGCCAACCCTTTCCCTGCACCCAGCACCGTTTCCTGCTCCCTAAACCCCACCCTGCTGATGCCAGTGAGAAGTTTGAGCCCAGCCTGACCACCAGCCACGGCAGGAACAGGATTATTTGCTGGGCAAAAAGCCATCGCTGCCACCACCTCCACAATGCCACCCGCTGCCAGGCAGATTAGGTGACTTAATCCCTGAGCAAACAAACTGATCCCTAGGATTTTTTTTTTAATTATTTTATTTTAAACAGAATTCAAGGGCTGCAGACAGCTCATCTCATCCACTCCCCAAGCACTGCAAAGCCCCCTGAGCAGGACACCCAGCAGTTCCCTGCAGTAGGAAACTTCTGCTGCCGAGGAACTGGGGCTTTTCCTCCTTAAAAAAGGCTTCTGGGATTCTTCTCCCCTTGGGGAAAAAAAACCAAAAAAAACAACCAAAACAACCAAAAAAAACCCAGAAAAACAAAACCAAGCATTGCTGGTACAGGCATGCCGGGAAGGGAAGGGAAGGGAAGGGAAGGGAAGGGAAGGGAAGGGAAGGGAAGGGAAGGGAAGGGAAGGGAAGGGAAGGGAAGGGAAGGGAAGGGAAGGGAAGGGAAGGGAAGGGAAGGGAAGGGAAGGGAAGGGAAGGGAAGGGAAGGGAAGGGAAGGGAAGGGAAGGGAAGGGAAGGGAAGGGAAGGGAAGGGAAGGGAAGGGAAGGGAAGGGAAGGGAAGGGAAGGGAAGGGAAGGGAAGGGAAGGGAAGGGAAGGGAAGGGAAGGGAAGGGAAGGGAAGGGAAGGGAAGGGAAGGGAAGGGAAGGGAAGGGAAGGGAAGGGAAGGGAAGGGAAGGGAAGGGAAGGGAAGGGAAGGGAAGGGAAGGGAAGGGAAGGGAAGGGAAGGAAGGGAAGGGAAGGGAAGGGAAGGGAAGGGAAGGGAAGGGAAGGGAAGGAAAGGAAAGGAAAGGAAAGGAAAGGAAAGGAAAGGAAAGGAAAGGAAAGGAAAGGAAAGGAAAGGAAAGGAAAGGAAAGGAAAGGAAAGGAAAGGAAAGGAAAGGAAAGGAAAGGAAAGGAAAGGAAAGGAAAGGAAAGGAAAGGGCTGCAGGGCCCACATCTGGACAGACAGACACATGTGGACAGAGAGCCGCTGGCCGCAGCTGGGCTCAGCTTGTTTTGAAAGTCACGGGTGTTTCAGCGGCGGCGTTTTGCAACCATTCGGTGTCAC